AATGTTTATGGATGTTCCAAAATAAGCAGTTAAATTTTAATGTTACAGATAGAAACTGGGAAGAAGGTAAAATAGTTAAGAATCATGTTTCTTGTGTACATTACATGTATACATTATGTTTCAGAGGAGAGTTTTGTAATGTTGGAATAGAAAATGGTAACAAATGCATGTGCATATTAATTACTTACATTTGGTTTTTCAACAGGGTCTGTGTTTTAATGGAAGTGCCTTCATTTTGTACCTCATTGCTGCCATTGTAGATGCGTCTTCAGTTACCAAAGAACTGGACAGTCACAATTACAACAGCTGGGCAGCTTCTTCAGTGAGTTCATTTTTTGTTTAAATCAGTTCTATGTCCAATAAAGTTATATCAAAAGAAGGCTCACTGGAAGTGCGGGTTGAAATGCACGCGTCCTGGATTTTGAAAAGCTGCAGACTGATACAGAAGCTCACACACAAAACCTATAGGTATCTGTAATTTAGTTCATAGTTTTTGGAGGTGACTAGAAATTCCACCAGGAGATGACAGTCACATTGGAAAAGGCTGTAATGTTTTTAAGATCATACTGCTTTTCCCCTCTCTTGCCCCCATTTATTACTAGCTCCCTGGCAGAGGTTATAGCCTGGCACATCAGAGTAGACAAAACAGATTGAGTGAGCACCAAGTCACCTCAATGCACCTGGACAGCTTCAGAAGCAGTTTAAACTAACTCAGCTAACTTTGCTTGCATGTGGATAAGGTGCATTTAGCTTTTTGTGGGCTGAGCCATATACACAGCGCCTTTGAGAAGGTCCTGAAGTGGTATTGCTGTTTCTACAGTGATCTTCCTGTTACAGCCTCAACTTTTGATAATCTTTCTTCTGAGTTGGGTGGGCAATGCCTGAAAAATCATGTAACTTCCCAGTGTTTTAAAGTGGATGCAAATCATTAATTAGTCTGACATTACTGTCTAACTGCTTAGATTGGAAATCCAAAGCAGTCAGTCAATGTGGGTGAAAAACAACTTTTTTTTTTTAAGAGCCTTGTCACTTTCTGAGTAGGTGAATGTATTCTCTAACTAAGTTAAAAACAACGTAAAAGAACTTTTTGCATGTTGTGGCAATGCTAGTCAAATTCAATTGTATAGAGTAATTCCAAATTACAGCTACTTTGTTGACTGTTCATGCTTCTGCAGTCGTCCTCTCTGGACTAGTCACAAATCCTGTCTTCTGTCTGAAGCTTATCGTATACGGCTATGAACGCCTGCTCTGTTTTTGTCTTGGGAATTGGATAACTACGTCCCTGTCACTTCAGTGGTGTTCAGGGTCTTCTCCCCTTGGCAGTTCGTTAACTATTGATGTTACTCAGCCATTGCTGTTGACAGGAACTTGCTTGCTGCTAGATAAGCTTCCATGCTGATTCAGGTTTTATACAAAATGCACAAATGCTCAGTGTCTCATGGGATGTTTGGAATCTCTTCTAATACCTCCTAATAGTGTTTATCTAATGCACTGTCTAAATAAACTATTAAATGTAGATTTGCGCTTTCTGAACCTATTAAGGGTTTCATGGATGGACGTTTGTGAGAATTTAGCAAATAATCTATCCCCAACAGTCATTCTCTGTTAGATTTCAGATGGAGCTTTTATTTCGTAAGAAACAAAATTATTGGCAAAGAAGAATGCTACAATTTTCTATTGTAATAATATTTTACATCACAATCTACAGTTTTTGGTGCCACGGATTAAATTTACATTAGACAAGGCTCACCTAGAGCCCTCTGTTGGAGGGCTTAGATTTACTGCCTGTATGCATGCTTAGTAGTGCCCTGCTCTCAGAGCTGAAGTGTCTACCCAGGCCAACGATGGTATATAAGCAAGAAACATTGGTAGAATCCTAAAATATTTTTAGGCTGGAAGGGACCTCTGGAGGTCATCTGGTCCAACTCTCTCCCCCCTTAAACAAGGCTAACTTATATCAGGCTACCAGGGCCTTGTCCACTTGAGTTTTCAGTGTTTCCAAGGATGGCTATTCCACAACGCCTCCGGGCCTCTGTTGCCATGTTTGAGTACTCTCATTGTGATTCCCCCCCCCCCCCCAATATCTAATTGAAATTTCCCTTCTTGTAACTTGGGTTTGTTCCCTCTTGTCCTATCACTGCTCACCTCCAAGAAAAGTAGTGTTAATCTTATTTGCAGTATCAGCTTTATTTGGTTCAGTTACCAGCACAAAACATTCTGGTCTTATCGTAAGACCATTTTGAACATTGTCTATTTTGAACAACATGCAGTGATTAACAGGAACTTAACCACTGGCACTGAATTGGACTTTATCAGTACAACTGAAATAGTTCACAGCTGTTCTTTGGTTTCTGTGTGCATATGCTGCAAGGACTGCAGAAGCAACACCACTGATAGATACTGTGTAGTTTTAATCTTTAAACATAAAATAAATCTAGCCTGCTACAGAAGGCTTATTCTGTAATCAGTTTCTGACAAAGTAGTGATATCTCAGCGTGGTTGCCATCACTGTTATTTGCACTGAGGAGTACCTTTATTCATCATAGAGCAGCTCTGGAATTGGTAACCTAATCGGTACTGCTGTTTGTGAACTTAACTGGGCCTGCATTTGAATCCAAGTTTTCTCTGTAAACAAGCTATTTTGATGCACAGTGTGCCATACTGAGGTACAGGTGGGCTGTAGGCAATTCCTGGAACATCGCAGCAATGCAGGAGTGTTAGCTTGAGCTCACACTGTCCCGTGGGCTATCTATCCCTCAGTCTTTACCAGCAATTGATGTTACAATCAGCAAGTATAGGATTGGTGGGAGTCCAGTCTATAAGATCTATACTGAGGCAGTATAATGTGGAGATACGAGTTGAAATATGCCATGTTTTTTCTGCTTCTAGGCCCATATTTCTACGCATAATATAAGGTTACTTACACAGTGTTGACTGCAATGGCCACACAAGTACAAGGAGGTGAAAGAGTGCCATTTTCGTCAGCCTGCTATTTCTCCTTTTTCCAAATCCCTTGGCTATTTCTTTCGTAGAAATTACAGTGCTCTTAAATATATTTCTTTTCCTAATATTTTTTTTTTCCCCCTCTCTCTACAGTTCTTTGCCTTCCTGGTTACCTCCTGCTATGCTGGAAATACGTATTTTAGCTTTATATCTTGGCGATCACGAACTTTGCAGTAAATATTTTGTTAAAATGAATTCTGTAGTATAAAATATCTTGAGGATTATACTGTTTTGACAAAAGCTTGGAAGAGGGATGAGGTCTTCTTGAACATTTCTGATAGAATTGACACAATATATTTTAAGCTGAGATTAAAATGATTATTTATAATACAATATCATCTTTGGAGACATCTAACACCGACTTTGTACTGTATAATAAAATTCATACTGCTTGTTTTAAAACTAACGGTATTTTTCTAGACATTGTATAGATGTTATTACTAAAGCTTTAATAAATCTTACTCAGACAATGTGCCAATTTTGTAAATGTAACTTTTTAAATGTTACAGATATACTTTTGATACTGAATGCTACAAATCAAAACTAAGATTGATACTGTCTCATTATTATGTATAAAAAGTGACGTTGTGCAGAAAAAAAACACCCAAAACCTTAAAAATAAATAAATAATTGACCCAACTGTGCATGTTTTGTAAATTGGGAGTAGAAGGCTGCTTTTTTTTAATTTCTTTTTCAGAGTAACATATGTACTACTAAGAATTCTGATGATCCTGTCAGTTTGCATATTCTAACAGCTTCTCACAATCATGAGATCGCTTTTGGAACCTGTTACTGTAGGTCTGAAGCTCGCTGAAGGAATGTTGCGCCTGAAACACATTATCTTAACAGGTTTCTCAAATCCAGCAGGCTCCAAGGCATAAGTCTAGACAACAGTCCCTTAGTGCTCAGTGTTTAACCTACTGAGAATATCACAAAACACCTACTAAAGGTAATACATTTTGTTTCTCAGGGGACCGTGTTTTTTTCTTTTCTCCTCAGATTAGGCCATTAATCTGTCCTAATTAAAATCTGGGCTTCTAAATCCTATTAAATGATATACAGATTAAATCCATAGAAGAATTGTCAAGACGCTAGTGCTAGAAACAAAGAATTTCCTCCCTCCTTTCCTGTCTACTGGCATCATCTGTGAGTTGTTAGTTTAACAAATGAAATTTTTAATTTGATGCTCATATTTAAATATCTTTGAGTCAAGCAGAAGTATGACAGAAGATTATGACTTTCAAAACAGATACCTTTGAAAATGACTTTCAAATACAAATTACCTAAGGAATTTTTTCCAGGAATTATGTGGAGAGTGTAAGGTCATGATTATTTTGTGATATTATTTAGTTTTTCTCATTTAAAACTACTGGTAAACCTTTTATTCCTGGATTAAGAAGATTGGGACTCTCTTCCGGTCTTCAAAAACTTAGTTGGACGATTATATACGGTAGTAGAGAAATCTTACTGCTTAAAAAAACTTCTTTATTTCTCCCTGTAACTAAACGGTGTGTGCTTACTTACGTGCGTGCCCTGCAGCAAAAATTTATCAGCAGCCAGCTAATTCTGTTCTCGATCACATTGTTTTGTTCTTGATTATCTGTCAGAGTCACAGGATTTCAGTGTAAGGGAAGCCAAGATATTATTTAGAACCCTATATTTGTCTGCAGATTGCATCTGGCCTGACCAACAAAGGTCAGGCTGTCTGCTGCTTGCTAAAATTATCCAGTTGTGAGAAGGAAGAAGGGCTACCAACTATGCATTTTATCTACACAGATAAAATGTGTCATTAAAATCCCATATGCTCTTTTCCATTGCTGGAAAAAATCAAGGCATAAAAATGATCCAAATTGTCAACTGATAAAATGTGACTAGAAATATAGCCAGAATTAAAATCTCATCAGTGATTCCTCATCAGTAAAAATGCTTTCGTAGTAATAGAAATGCGTTCTTAAGAGAGGTACATCAAATATCATTTAAGTCCAAAGAACGTGACTATGTTTGCACAAATGTTTCATGATTTCGTGGTAACTGCAATGGTCTGGACTAAAGTCATAACCCAGACGTTTGTGGATAGAGGTAGTAAGAGGGAGTAGGGCTCAGAGGGAGTAATATGTTTCATTCAGTTTACCAAAAACTGTCATGGAAACTGTGTGTCACATGTCAGAATAAACCCATTAATGAAGGACAAACCCACGCTATTACCAGATAAGGAGCGATTCTGGCAAAATGTCTACCACCTCTCTGAGCCTTCAGCGCTGATCCTCAAGGGAGGATGTGTGGAATGTCTTCCAAAGGCAAATCTGTGAGTTGAATCCTTAATTCTGAATTTAAAAAAATTTGCTTTATGCTTGCCCTTGCTTTTTTTTCCACAAACCATAACTTACCTGCCTTGCTCTTTCCTTTTAGAAATAGAACTATCTTACTGCCTGTGCTCTTTCTCATCTGTCTCATTTCTCAGCTGTTCCCCAGGTACCAACTGTCTGGTTTTCAAGTGTTCTGAATATCTAGTTAAAATTGGGAGGAATTAGTACAAGCCGAGAATTACTTCTTAAGTTTGCTCCTCCTATTTCAGGCCTGAAGAAAGGCATAAGCACCCAAAAGGTTATCTGTTTGTTCCAGCACATTAGTCTTAAATACTGATTTGCAAACTATTACTTACGCCTTTGTATATTCTAATATTGATAAAGAAGATAAGATAGCCGTAGTTTATCATATAACAGTTAAAACAAGGTTTGTGGCTGCAGGCATTGCTTAGTGTTCCTAAGATTCAAAGAAACCTTATTTATTAAGAATTCCACTAATGATTTCAGTTGTTCTTTCACAGATATTTAGAATAAACAAAATGCTAGTCAACGTCCAAAATGAAGGTATTTGACATCATAAATAACTTGTTTCAGACAAACAGTCTTTCTGAAAAATCTAAGTCACCCACATACATAAGGATACTTGATGTCAACTTAGGGCCATCAAATTTCATTTATTAAGGAGTTGTCAGTACCTCTTATCATCATCATACGTGATGCACTTAAGATGAAGTAAACAGCATGAGAACTGTAATAAAAACTTCAAATTCAGCAGTATTTTAGACTGACTTTGTGCCAGCGGTTTACAGAAGATGCCTGCCTTTCTGAGTAGAAAATATGACTTATTCTATTTGTATTAGTTTAAAGCTCAGATCAGCAGGGCCCGTCATATACACACTTTCAAAAGAAGTTAAGAACTAAAGAAGCTGAATCAGCAGGTAAGAAAAATGTATTTCTTAATAGGAAGTACAGAAGTTACTAGAACCTTCCTCCACAGGGCTTGCAAGAAGCCTATAGACGTGCATGCTTCTCAACTTGAACTGTAAGAAGAGGGGAAAAAAAGCAGCTGTTTAAAGAAAAAAAAAAAAAAGCTTTCTCAACAGCTAGCATTTTACTCTCCTGTAGATTAGCAATGTTGTAGATTTGCTATCTAATGAAATGAGATAAAATTTGTTGGGACAGGTAATATCTTTTATTGCAAAACTAGCTGGCTTAATAGTTTGGGGCTTGTGTGGACTGCTTAGTCTATTGCAGACCATTGCCTACGCTGGCAAACCCTGTCTTGCTCGTGTAAATTACTTACACTAGCCCCTTATTTGTGTTGGAGATCGTCTGAACTTACCTGTCTTTTAGTTGCTGAAGGAGCTATTAAATACTAAACATGAACAGAACGTGCATCCTAACGGCAGAACAGAGCAGTTCTGCAGCTGAAGAAGGGTTTACTCCTCTCATGAGTTACAAAAGCGGCATATGCCCAGCTCGGAGGCCCGCTATTACCTCACTTGTCAGAAAACAAAACAAGTTATTTTTAAACTTGAGGAAATTATATAGCTTCCTTTGCTGAGTTTTGTTAGTATCTCTGCACGATTTAATTCAAACGATGGGGCAGTCATTCCAGTTTTGCCTGTCGCTGCCCATTTAATGCAAATATTTTCTCTTTTACGAGATCGTGAATCGGGAGCTTTGGTGTATTTTGGTGAGAATGAGTGTTGTGTGGGAAGACGCTGTTGGCAGCTGTACCTCCACCGCGAAGCACCGGAGCAGCTCCCCTCCGAGAACATCGCTGGCGAATTTTGACAGGCCGAGGGGTCTTTTACGGCTCGAGTAAAAGTGCTAACGGCGCTGGCGGCCGGTTCAGCGCGGAGCTCCCCTCCCGGGACCCCACAATACACAGTCAGGCGTCCCTCTCCCTGCTTGGAGATGTTCGCTTCGGCCTCTACCTTCACGTAACCCA